GAGAGAGAGAGAGAGAGAGAGAGAGAGAGAGAGAGAGAGAGAGAGAGAGAGTTTTAATGCTCTCGAAAAGGGGATCTAATGTGAGAAAGAGAAGGTTAGTGTTGAAGCAGGAGTGAAACACGGACTGGGGAAAAACAAGTTTGAGCTGTATTGAAAAGGCGTGAGCGTGTGGAGACCAAGACTGTTTCAAGCATGGGCAGTGACCTTATATGTGGGGGGTGCACATCGTGCTCACGTTTTAACTCATTCGGGACGCATCAGAGCTTTTCTCGACCGTTGTGCTCGCACAAATGGAGGTATTCCGGGAAAATAAACCTTTTGTTGGACATTGCTAAGCCGTATTTTATTTTGTATTTATTTATTCCTGACCGTATAGTGTCGTTTTTTAAAATCATTTTCTGTGGCGATTTATGAAGGCAGTCGAGGCGATAAAGAATATGGATCTCCGAGGGGTACCATACAAACAAGGACTATTCAGAGTGATAAACTATATTTCTTCATAGTATATGGTCTTTAGATTGTGTTGGGTGGTGTTTTTAGTAGCATTTTAGTTGTGTAACTTTATCTTGTTTGTTTCTGCATTTTTGTTTGGGGGGGGGGGGGGGGGGTCTCATACACAATTTTTGTAGGGGTCCTGACAAAGTTAGGAATATTTCCAGGTAAATTGGATAAGATCTAAAGCAAAGTACAAATGTTGAAAGTGTAGATAGTGAAGACAGACTTTAAAAATATTAAAAAGGGAAAAGGAAAAAAACCGCAGACTTTCAAAGTTGATCCAAAATCTCGCGTCTCTGGGTGCAAAGCTGGTCCAAAACCCGCGTCACGAATGAGTTAAAAGAAACCACAAGGGACAAAACATTTTTGAGGTTGACCTAAGCCTGAAACTAATTGAGAATATTATCTTTCCATTCTTTGTTTTCGTACATCGGAATATAAAATTGAAACTCTTGGTTGTTTAAAGTTAAAAATAGTTAAGATGTTGCACAACTGCCAATAGAGAAAAACGACACACACACAACAACAACAACAACAACAACAACAACAACAACAACAACAACAACAACAACAACAACAAATATGTCAACGACAACAATAACAACAACAACAAAAATAACAACAACAACAACAACAAATGTCAATAACAACTAATATACCAACAGCAACAACTATATACTTTATCAGATGACATTGCATTGTAATCTACTTTTAGTGAATCAAAAGGAATAATATACAATATACGTTTATGACTACAAAGAAAACTGAACAAAATATTTTCCAAACGGTGGATACAGGCAGGGTTTAAAAAAAAGTCTGCATGCGCAGTAAGTCATGGGCTAGGAAAATCACTTGTGAACAAGCACTTGTTGCATCGTGAGTTATTACCTTCATGATAAAGGGGATGAGCTATATGTGTAGAGGAAAAAACACAAACCATTCAAAGTGTTCAATACTCATGACAAGTCTACCTTTGTCTGACGCGGGGAAAAGAACTAGAGGAAGCGGAAGATGCGTCATTGTTGGGATGAGGCAATGAGAACAAAGTATACTTGTGTTAGATCTTGTGGGAGAGGAATAACGTGTGTCGCTTCAATATTGGTCATTTAGGACTGACGAAAAGAGATCTATGTATCCATCTATTCAGCTAGCCAGAGGACAAACAGACAGAGAGTCATTGAAACAGACAGCAAGTCAACCGACTATTCATCCATCCATCCATCCATACATCCACCCATCCATCCATCCATCCATCCATCCATCCATCCATCCATCCATCCTTTCTTACATTCAACCTGATAGCCAGACAGTCAGCCAGATGGACAGACAGACAGACAGACAGACAGACAGACAGACAGACAGACAGACAGACAGATAGACAGACACTGGCAAACAGACGGACAGACACAGACACACACAAACAGACAGACAGACACACAGACAGACAAAAGACAGCTAGCCTGCCAGGCAGAGAGACATATAGATAGATAGGCTGTCAATTATCCTGTCAGACAGGCGTACAAACTATAAACAGACAGCCAAAACAGTTAAAGGACAGACGGACAGTAGGACAGACAGCAACAATAGAGGGGTAGAAAGGAAAAGTAGAGTCGCCTACCATAGAAGCTCTTGAAGCACCATCTTTTTGAGAGAGGAGGCAAAGGGGAAAGTAGGTAGGGAAGAAGGGATGGAGGAACAAAGTGATACAAATAAAGAATAAGAGAAAGAAAGAGAGTGGGAGAGTAGATAGATAAATAGATAGATAGATAATAGATAGTTAGACATATATATAGACATATAGATAGATAGATAGATATATAGATAGACAGACAGACAGATAGATAGATAGATAGATAGATAAATAGATAGATAGATA